CCCCAAAACCCCAAAACCCCAAAACCCCGCAAGATTTCTTAGATTAAAAACTCACATTTCATTTTATTAAATTAAAAAAGTAAAATAAAATAGCTTCTCATACAATGTCTCAAATGATGGATTCTAATAAAGCTGAATATAAAAGCACAGTAGAATTTAACTAAGAAACGAAATAGACTATGATAACCTTAGATGATGACTAGCAACTGACTACTTTAACTAAACTACCTAGCACAATGGATAAGTTAAAGTCAAAGTAATTTAGCGATTAGAGCTTTGACACTTCGAAGTCTAAAGGAATGAGGTTTAGAGTCATGAGATAGAAGATTCTATAGCCAAAGATTAATGATCAAGGATAGTCTGAGGATATAAATCTCAATCAACCAAGACTTAATGCAAACTTACGCTACAGCGATGACAAGTACAAATCTTAGTATAATTCTACTAATAAAAGTTAGTAAGAGCATAGGTAAAAACTAATATACCTTTAAAAGGATTTGACAGAAGATTAGAAAATGAAAGATCTCTAGCAATACTAAGACAAGCTTCAAGAGCAGTATTAAATTGACGAGAGCTCTATATTTGAGATGAATGAATAGATCAGACTTAAGGATCAGAGATTCAAGTCTCTGGAAGCATTGTACTCAGGCCTAAATTTTCATGATATTTCCTAGAATGATGAGCAAATACTTAATAGCTTCAGGTCTAAAAGAGAAGTGTTAGGATCGATTGAGGATTTCAAAAAGCATCATAAGCATAAGATTGAACTTCGAACTTAGTAATAAACACCTAAATAGCAACTTATGCTTGGCTATTTGAACTTAAAGATCCAAAAGGATTATTTATAAAAAGTAGATAATGAAAATCCAGAAATGGGAGGTGGAGCGACTAAATCAATAAATACTAACTCTAACTCAACAAATATAAGACAAAGAAAAAGTAGGATCGAAACTAAAGAGGGTATAATATACTGGCAAAAATAGATTGATGAGGACTAAGCTATTAAGGAGTTGTAGTAAATAGAGTCGAGAATTGAACTTAATAAGAGACTAGAAGACAAAGAATTAAGGATAAGAGAAGTTAAGGATGTATATAGAGTGATTGCTCATCAAAGACAGGGCAGAGCTCTTGATAAGTATGAAAGATTTAATAAAGATTGGGAGTATAATGACCAACTAATTAACCAGAAAATAAAGAGGAAGCAATAGTCTCAATCATTAATTAATTAGCAGGATAGCTTTAGATCTAAAACAGAAATTAGGAGCATACTTGATAGGTCAAAACCAGATTCCCTGATTTATGGGTCTGAAATGGGCTGGAAAATGAATCTCAGACTTAGCAAGTATGAAAGATTTAAGCGAGGTGATAAGGTTGAACTCATAAGAAAGAGTTCCCCTTGCATATGGGGCAACGATTCTTTTAATAAGGCTAATAACTCACTTGCTGAAAATAATGAAATATTTTCAAAGCAGTCCTCAGATTTGATTAAACAATTCAAGATGAATCGTATAAGCAAAGGAGAAAGAGAGGAACGACTAAAAATGATAAAGAATTATATGCCTACCATGTAAAAAGACCAGGATTTATAGTCAATTAGCCTTCACGGATAGAATGTACTTAAAAAAGAAAAGAGTTATTTGTAGCAATTGATAGGTAAAGATGCTAATTAAATGGCTTAAATGTCAACTAGTAATGATAAAAAGTACTTTAACTTTGAGAATGTAGAAAGTTAGAATAAGTAAAAGAGAGATTTGTTCTGGATTAATTGCTTTTCAGGCTAAGATTAAAGTAATAACGAAGTTTGATAATTATACTATGAAGGATAATAATAAATTTATTTAGAATTTAATAAATGATTTAATGCCTATTGATTAAATATTGAGGTTTTGGGGTTTTGGGGTTTTGGGG